TTGGATTCCGTATCAAAGGGATAAGTATATTATCTTGAAAATTTAAATTAGGTAAAAACAATTAAGATATATCTTGTTTCAAGTCCACTCATTTGGTACAACCAAATTTGATCATCAGAATCATTAAAAAAAAATGGCTTACTGATAATATTTTTTGTTATTTCTTTTAATATTTGTCTTATTTAGCTTAAGGTGACAAATATTGTCTTCGAGTAAATATTGTTTTCTCCTGTTGGGAGCTTGTGGTTTCTTCTCATGTTGGGAGTTTTTTCTTTAGTTGTGTTGTGTGTTGTAGGTTGATTCTAGGCTGCCGTCAGTGTGTACATGTAGTCCTCTCTACAAGAGTCAGCTGTTCAGCTTATTCGGCCATTGGTTGTATATTCGGCTGAATAGTTGGTCTCTCGTTTTGGTTTATGTTGTGAATATAAATACTTCCTATCGTTGCGAAAAAAAAAAGTAAAGAGCCATCATCACAACCCGACTCACCATTAAAAATCTCGGCGACAATCAATGCGCCATGGATATCACTGGCATGAAGGTAGTACGGAGACGAAAGATAATCACTAGGGTTTGTAGTCGCCATGGACCGAATCAATAGCAACGAATCTAAGTCAATTGCGTACAGATCGAAGCCCAAATCGTACAAAACAATTGAGAATCCCACAGATCAAGGCTTAAATCATAGTTTTCGCTTAGATCGAAGAACAAATAAAGAAAAACAAAAAATGCATCTTAGAGAGACGAACAAACGAAAATCGATTGTGGAAGCGAAATGATGTCAGAAAATCAGAGATTTTCTGACCACTGATATTAGGTTCAGATGAACAATGGAGAAGATGAAGAAAGAGAGAGAGAGAGAGAGAGAGAGAGAGAGAGAGAGAGGAGAGGCTAGAGGCTCAATGAACAAAGAAAGAAAAATAAACTTTTGATAATGAATCTAGGGTTACAAATTATTGTTCAGTTGGTATTTATACTAGGGAAAAAAAAATTTAACCTCCCAAAGTATGATATTTTTTAGAGTTTGCTATATAAACTTTTTTTTTTTTGACAATTTTCCTCCCAATGTAATCGAAACTGATAATTTACCTCCTCGATTGAAAACCCTAATATGGCACAAAAGTGTTTTTAACTCAATTAATGATAAATTTTAAATTAATCTTTAGAATTGATTTAAGGCTTTTAAAGCCCATGGCGAGACAAACAAAATGATGTATGATTTGTCGAATACTGAAAATTGATACCTCTATAATCGATCCCCAAAGATAGTAGGAGCACGTGTGTATAGAAAAAATTTCAATTCAAGTTTTCTAATAATCAAGATATGCGATTTTCGATTGGGAGGTGTCATTTGAAAGCTAGTAGGACCAATTTTGTAACACGTAAAGCTTATAAAAATCCAACAGTCGAATTTTGATCAGTATTTAGAAAACTACTGATCAATAGTTAGATTTTCTTAAGCTACTAACCAGAATCCGACCGTTGGATTTTTGTAAGATTTACTTCGATAGAAAACTCGTCCTCCAGGCTTTCAATTGACACCTCCCAAGCGAAAATCGGATATCTTGATTATCAGAAAACTTGAATTGAAATTTTTTCTATACATAGGTGCTCCTGCTATCTTCGTGGATCGATTTTAGAGGTATCAATTTTCAGAAATGGACAAACCATACCTCATATTGTTCGTCTCGCCATGGGCTCTAAATGCCCTAAATCAATTTTAAAGATTAATTTAAAAATCATCATTAATTGAGTCAAAAACTCTGTTGTGCCATATTAAGGTCTTCAATCGAGGAGGCAAATTGTCAATTTCGATTACATTGGGAGGCAAATTGTCAGAAAAAAAATTTTGTATGGAAAACTCTAAAAAATGGCATACTTTGGGGGGTTAAATTTTTTTTCCCTTTATACTAATGGTCTAAAGTTGCTAAACAAAGCAAATGACAACTACAACATGTGTTGCTAATTAGTAAAGAAATAAACTACAAAATTATCCTTTTACCTACATATCTAATACTCTTCTTGCTATCAATTGGCAACATAATAACCATTTTCAGAACAAAGCCACAAATGAGTTTTTTCATGTTAGCTCAACCATTTTCAAACACGATAAAAACAGAAGATTCAAAACCCTCTTCAACTTGAGAATAAGACCTCTTCGTCCTAAAACAAGCTCTTGAAGCCATTATCTCGTCCAACGACACTCTCTTCTTCGGGCTCGATACGGGCCTCCGCTTCAGTGCACTATAGGACCTCTGCTTCGCCCTAAATGACTGTTGTGGAATTCGCTCCGGGTCCCGTCAATCTGTGTATTTTTTTCTTAACAAAGTAATGCNATGTAGATAAAAAATGAGGTGATGAGACTAAAAGAGAATTGAAGGATTTTGAATATTTGTTTATACATAAATCAATTTTGTGAATTCGAAAAAAAAGTTAAGAATATTAATTCTTGATTTGTTTCATATCTTTATTTATTTATTTTGAGAAATTGTATGTCTAAAATTTTGTACGTTTCATATTTAATCGAGAGATTGAGTTCCCAAAACCGTACAATTTTGTTATGAATTCTTAAGATGGGGAAGGCATGAAAATCAATAAAATTGTTGGAAATTCAAAAATTAGTTTCCGTTATAAATGGCATGTTTCAAAAACATAGTATTTTGTTAATTAAGAATTGGAATTTGTATCAAAGTGATAAGTTTATTATCTTCAAATTTTACAACTAGGAAAACAATTATAGTCTACCTTATTCCATATCTGGCCATTTGGTGTAACTGAATTTGATTAATATAATCATTATATTGCAAATTCGACAGATTAAGTTTCTCAAAATCTGAGGATTTTTGGTTATGTATTGTTGAGATATTGAAGGTGATACTAGACAGACCGGTTTTTTATGGATAAGAAGGAATATATTGGAGGATAAGCCTGCACATGGGCTAGGACACATAGCCTAATCATATTGGTCAAACTCAATTTGGGTAGTAAGGTACACCTCCTCTATAAAAAAGGGATAAGGTACCCCAAGAACTCATTATCTCTACATTCATTACGATGCTCTCATATTGCACTCTCTCTGGCGAGTGCTGACTTAGGCATTGGAGGCCCGACGCCGGGACCCCTCCCGACTTTAGGTTCTTGCAATTAAGGAGACCGTCCAAGTTGAAGGAGCCCTGGTGAAGTCCATTTCACTAACATTAGATGATATGTGATATTATACTAGACCGGTTTTAATGGATAAGAAGGAATATATTAGAGAATAAGCCTACATATGGGCTATGACACTTGACATAATCGTATTGGTCTAGCCCAATTAGGCACTAAGGTACACCTCTCCAATAAAAAAGGGCTAAGGCATCCTAGAAACTCATTTTCTCTACATTCACTATGATACTCTTATATTGCACTCTTGATCTAAGGCGAGTGCTTACTTAGGCATCGGAGGCCCGACGTCGAGACCTATCCCGGCGTTGGGTTTTTGCAGGTACGGAGGTCTTCCGAGTTAAAGGAGCCCAGGTGAATTCCATTTCACTAACATTAGATGATGTGAGATATTATACTAGACCAGTTTAATGGATAAGAAGGAATATATTGGAGAATAAGCCTACATATGGGCTAGGACACATGACATAATGGTTCAAACCCAACTTGGACACTAAGGTACACCTCCCCTATAAAAGAGGGCTAAGGTATCCCAAAAACTCATTTTCTCTACATTCATTACGATGCTCTCATATTGAACTCTCTCTAGCAAGTGCTGACTAAGGCATCGGAGACCCGACGCCGGGATCCCTCCCTGCGATGGGTTCTTGCAAATACGGAGGTCGTCCGAGTTGAAGGAGCCCGAGTGAAGTCCATTTCACTAGCAGAAGGCATGCATAATGGAAATCAAATACAATTACTTCGGATAATGTAAAATCATTGTCCGTTAAAAAAAGCATGTTTCAAAAGTCGAGTGTTTTGTTTATTAAGAATCGATTTCGTATCAATGATGTAAGTATATTATTTTTATACTTTTAATGAGGAAAAAAATTAATGTATATCTTGTTTCAAATCAGGCCATTTCGTATATCGGAATTTTATCATCTAAATCGTTGCAAAATCGGCATATTAAAGTTCCCAAAATCATAGAATTTTTTGTTATGTATTGTTGAGATATTGATGGCATGAAAAAAATAAATAAATATTTCAGATATAGTAAAAACATTTTCCATTAAAATAACATTACTAAAAAATCAAGTGTTTTGTTTATTAAAAATTGGATTCCGTATCAAAGGGATAAGTATATTATCTTGAAAATTTAAATTAGGTAAAAACAATTAAGATATATCTTGTTTCAAGTCCACCCATTTGGTACAACCAAATTTGATCATCAGAATCATTAAAAAAAAT